AAATGTATCAGAAAATATTATATTTTTGATACAGTAAGAGATTTAAACAAATTTCCTAAATACACTTTTGTCGTGATATGGCATTCCGGCCTCCTAGTAACACGCTGCAGTCGGTGGGTGACCCACTTGTCACTTGCCGACTTGTCAGCAGGCTGAGATTATTAAAAGGCAAGGGTTTCACACACTTCTACACATCTTATCACCTGTGATGCCAGAGACACCATTGCTACCTACTCTAGGCGAAGGCAATGCTGTCAGGTTAAGTCCAATAAACTACTTTTAGAACTGTACTTCTGTTTCACTTTTCCCTTTACAAGTTGCTGAGGTCCTCCCTCACCCCCAGAACTCGCGACACTTTCGTAAATAACGTCATATTATTTTAATTCTATCAAGAAAGGTGAATTCATAAAATAACAAAAACAAAAACTACAGAAAATGTAAGTGAACATTTTACACTTGATCTATTTTTTATTCTTAATTGTTATGAAAGTAGAGGAGAAAATAAAAATCACTTACGCCTTCACAAATTTTTCTCGATTGAAAGCTGCAATTCTTGGCAAGATTGCAAGAAGGGCATGCTGCAAATGAGCATGTCGGCTTATTCGCTGAGCCAACACATCAGTGCAAAGAGAATCAAAGTGATCCATCATCAGCTGACGACATGCAGCACTTTCATACAATGGCAGCTGGTTGACTCCAGCCGGTAGCCCAGCCACTGAGCTGGCACTAGCAGTTGCTGCTGCCACCACAGAAGGGCTTGCAACACCTCTGTTCTGAGGTGATTTGCCTCCTTGGGGAGACTTCAGTCTTGGCACAAGACTCATGGATTCCTGAGACAAAAAGTTTTGGCAATAAACTCTTAAAATTAAATAAAATGGGAAAGAAGCTAAAGATAGAAATTTCATCTTAGAAAGTGGAGCCACATATTGCTACTGTATTCCTAGAACAAGTATCCCAGATATTTCCTGGTTTTCAATTTCTTTTCCTGATAAAATTTGTAATTTCACACTGTTTAAAAAAAACAATTAATAAAATGTAGCCTCCCCCTCTCAAGTATTAGAATGGGATATTCTAAACTAAGAAAGTTGACGATTGTAGATATTATGACAAATATCTATGCGATATGTTCAATTGTTACCTAATTAGGAATTTATTTACAATGTCTTATATTATACAGCATTTAAATAAGAATAACAACTGAAATAATTTACAATATATAACTTGTATGCAATACATGAATAAAAAGTAAAGTGTATTACTTTATATTAATTTGTGAAAAGTTTATTAGCAACAATTACACATGTTTATAGTTATAATGTTACAATACTAAATGTTCATGGTATGTGCATATAACATTAACAATGTAATATGTTGTTTTTTTATAAGGTACATCACATTATTATAAATTAATTATCATTGAAGTTGGAGTAAAATATGACAAATATATAAACATTATACTAGGGATTCACTTTCTTATTTGGATTCTTTTTCCTATTTCCTACAACTGAAGTGCCCAACTCACTACATTGCCATTAATTAATAATATTGTACAACAAAAAAACATTAATTTCAATTTCTTCCTGAAGATTGCTATTTGATGAGTGCAACAATAGTGGAGCTACATCACACACATTCTCACATTATTTCTAAATTTGCAATTTTTGAAAATTCAGAGTTCAATGACATTCCAAGACTTGAACCATTTTTTTAAGCATTCCTAGTTCTAGTCTCAGAAAAAATTTGAAGAAAAAATGTTGAGCGTTCTCCGCTCAATTTCTGGCACATGATTACAATACTTTATGTTCTTATGACATAAGAGCAAGAAAGTAAAAACCAACATATTGTTCTCAATATACCTGTTTCATACCATGCTTCCCACAGTCTATGGAAATACCTCTGCATAAATTCCTAGATCCAAGAATTCAACAAATCTCTTTTGAAAACAATAGTGTTACAGAATGATTATCACAATAACAAAAGAAATTCAGGAACAAATTATTTAAAAGGTGAAGAAGACAGTACACAACATTCATCATCTTTACCTGTGGATGTCCTCCTGTTTGCACTTGCAAGCGAGTCATCAGATCTTCATACTCTCTCTCCCATTCAGCATTGGAACAGCGCAAAAGCTCATTCAGCACCAGTAAAGACCCATGAACACGATCATCACGACTTGTTCCTTTCTCCCGAGTAACAATTTCTTCCAAGCCACTTATTGCCTCATCATATGATTGTTTGTACCTTAACAAAAATATAATAAAATCTTTCATGGTAATTTAATATCAGCAGAGTCAATGATATAACAAAAATTTAAAATAGTACAAACATCTTGAAAGTATTAACTTTCTGCCTCAAGGTTAAATGTAATTTAAACAAATGAGTGAATAAATGACATTTTTGCTGAACTCAATCCATATCATCATCATGAATTCTTATAATACTAGGCAAATTGCAAGGTGTATAAGCAAAAGCTGCTCAAATGTTGAGATTAATTCCAATTGATTTCATTGCTTATTCCAAAACATACAAACGTATTTTGAAGAAAGTAATTAAACAAGCCACACTGTTAATAAATGAACAATGCATTGCCAAAGCACCAAACAAAAGCAATGTGGAACATTGAGAAAAATACTCTAAAAATAGCAACCTTAAGAACACTGAACATTGAACTATAAAAATAATGTTCTGCATAACCCACAGGAAGTAGCAAACACATTCAATAGACATTTCTCAAAAATTGGAGAAAAATTAATTCATTGTAATTCTTTAAATAATATAAATATGCAGTGAAATCCACACATCACCAAATGTAAATTCCATATATATCTGAGAAACATCACCCGCAGAAATACAAAAAAGATCATAAATCAAATGAAAAACAAATGCTCTACAGTACAGGATAATATCTCAAACACCCTAATTAAACATACCGCAACAAACATAATAGAACCACTCACATTTGTAATCACTCCTTAACGACACGCATCATCTCAGAAATTAAAAAAAAAGAGTCAAAGCCACTATTCAAAAAAGGCAAAACTCACAATCTTAAGACAGACTAATATCCTTACTACTTGGATTTTCAAAAAATCTACAAAAGCATATTAAAGAAAGACTCAAAAATTTTCTCAATTGAAATATCATATTGGCAGAGGTCTAACATGGATTCAGAAAAGGTGGATCAATAGACATAGCTATCTTCACCTTTCTAAATGACATACACGTTGCTCTAGATCAGAAAGAAATCTGCATTGGTTTATTTCTAGATTTATCAACATTACTGAGCATCACATACGGTTATCCGAACTTGAAACTTTAAGAATTAGAGTCATTGCACATCAAATGGGTTAAATCTTACCTTTCAAATCGTTGTCAAGTAGTCACAACCGAGCATGTTACAGATAAAAAGATTTCTACCCATTTTCCCAACCTAAAATAAAAAATTATGGAGTGCCACAAGGACCACTCCTAGGCCCTACACTATTTCTCTTATTCATCAATGACATGCCCCTGACCCTACAAAAGAGTAAATTGATCCTATTTGCAGATGACACAAACATTATTATTAAAGCAAATATCCAACAAACTCAACATAAAGAAGCACTAACAGTCCAAGAGGCACTAGTAAAATTCCAGGAAAATAAACTCATCATAAACACCAGTAAAACTGTCTCACTAAACTTTCAAAATCTCCTCTCTATAGAAAAGCCTCCAGCACAATTGATGATAAGAAACATGCCTGTAAAAATAGCCCAAAAACAACTTTCCTTGGATTGACTATTCAAGATGATCTAAGATGGAACACCCACATCACAGATCTAAACAAGCTTACCCAGTCATTTTAAGCCGTCTGCATCGTTAAGTCAAATTCTAACTTAGATACACTCTGAACAGGGTACTTAACAAATGTTCATTCGCACTTAACTTAAGAATGATATTATGGGGAAATTCCTAGAAAGTATTCATACTTTTTATCATCCAGAAACTAAAATTGAGAACAATGATAAACCCTCACTAAAAATGAGTCCTGCAAACCACTGTTCAAAAAATTGCTAATCCTACCACTCCCATGCATGTACATATTTGAACTATTAATCTTTGCTAAGAACACACTTATGGGAAGCAAGGTTTCTGTTACACTAAACACAGAAGTTTACAACTATGATACTAGACAGAAAAGAAATCTGCATGTCCCACACAGTGAAACTTCACTCTTTCAAAACAGTACCCTTACAGAAAGCATTACACTATATAACAAACTCCCTAGTGAATTTAAAAGCTTAAACTCAATACAATACAAAAGAATACATACATCGTTAACACATATCTACATCAATATAAACTAGTACTAATAATTTTTGCACATGCTGTAGCATGTTTTGAAGCCTGCCAAACTGAGTTGAGAATTAAAGGCCCTAATCCTTTGAGGTCAAATGATACCATGTTATATATAGAACCTCATACACTGTCAACAACCCGATAACGTGATTTCATGGAATAGAAAATGATCTTGATATAAATATTTGGGAGCCTCTACACTCCACATTTTGTTATGAAACGAAAAAAAACTAGTTTATAAGTTTCAATAGTATAGTACGGTGGCAGTAACATAAAAATGTGCACTATTATATAACAAAGAAGTAAAATCTGCAAAAAGATAAATATCTGATCTGATCTCAATGAGGCACGTAGATTATTTACATCCTTAACTATTTTGCATAATCTGGAGTTTTAAACATAACAATTGATAGTATCATAATAATATAATGGATGGTAAAAATTGCAATAAGTATTGAGAAAATCCGAATGAAACCTGTTCAAATATAAATGGACAATCAATACTGTCTCTAATAATTTTTAACAAAAACTATATTAGAGAGTAATGGTCTCCTGTGTTGTATGCTGTTTAAGTCAAATTTTTGAAGCAGCCATATTCAAGTGTAGATCGTACAAGAGTACAAAAAGTATCTAGAGTTCTACTACTGAATTACTGCTTAATTTTGTCACAAAACCCAACACTTTACTGGCAGAGCTTATAAGTTCCTCAACAAGAGATTTAATGTCAAACAAATGTCAAAAAAATGTAGTAGATATTACATCTAATTATGTAAAAAGTGTAACATGTAATATCTGTTAAATTATTGTTAAAGGTTCTAGACAGATAAGATGGTGAAATGTACCCCTGCTTGAAATCGAAAAGTAAATATTTTCCAATTTTTTCTTGGACATTTAGATTCCTCCCCCCCCCTTTACTTCCTTCATAATAATGAAAAAGTGTTTCTTTTTATTCTACTTTTTGTTGTTGTTGTGAAAGTAATTCAATTTTTCAAAAATAATTCTAAAGTAAATGAAACAATGGACAAAATGGGGCATGAGGACAAAATGGGACACGGGGATAAAATGGAACAAAGAAGACAAGGAGACAAAATGAGTCAATAGGACAAAAAGAAAATGGGGAGAAGGGGGACAAAAGGAAAATTCATCGAAAGATTTATGTGCACTGGTGAAATCTAAACCTGAGAGTTTGGTAAAATATTATTTTTTGTATTCCAGTAATATAAAAGAACCTTTTCTGTTGCAAGAAATCATTTATAATCGAGCATTTTACGGCACAAATGATGACGTATTAGATTTTATGTTATGAATGATTGCTTCATCACACATTCACTCGATCGTAGGGTGAGAATCGGGAGAGGTAGAGCTAACCAGAACAGCCTACCACCGTTTACTTGCATGCTGTCAAATACCCGAGTTGTCACAGGGAAGTCGTTTCGCAAAATTAAGTTTGATTCTCTTATAAATGTATAATGCTGTTATACAAAAAAATATAGTATACAACTCGTTTATTATGTTGCTTTATTACATTCGTACAAATTTGAAAACACGCTCCTAAAGTCACTCGTTTTCAAAACATGTATTCATGCAATAAAGCTTAACATTATAAACTAATTGCATGAACTACTATTAATAGACTCTCTAGTACTTTAACGCACGTTGCAGAAAATTCTTAAATGTTGTCCTAAAAATCAGCTATCTTCTGGAATTTTTTCAGATTTTTCTGATTGGTGTGCCATGTTACAAACCCCGCCCCTAATGCGTTATTTAGATGGTTGGTTGCTAATGTGTTACGTGCAAATTTACCAATGTCGATAACAAAAAAAATATTTTTTGATCTCAGCCTTTTAATACTGAAAATATTCCAGCTAAAAAATAATATTGTAATTACATACCTCTATACAGTACTATAAACATGAAAATGATAGGACAAAAATTCATTGGTTTTTTTTAACATGGTGCACCAATCAGAAATATCTGAAAAAATTCCAGAAGATAGCAACAGTGTGTAGCAAAATGTGATAGCAAAATGTGTTTAGGACAACATTTGAGAACTTTCTTGTGCACCTGGTGAAATATCTACACGTTTTTTAAAAAATTTCAAAGTTTTAAAACCCATTTAAACATTTTCATATCACAACAAATAGAATTTTAAAAATTCTTCTTGAAAAATGGAGTAAATTTCACATAAAGAATCATTATTTTCCATGAAAGTTCATACAGCCAATTCAATAAGAAAAAAAATTTCACTATTTCGGAAGATGTAAAAGTGGGAGATATGTAAAACTTAAAAAAAATGTTTTTCACGTTCACAATAATTGGGAAATATTTACTTTTTGATTTTTAATTGGGAGCACCTTTTACCATCTTATCTAGCTAGAGCCTCTATGTATATATGGACGAAAATCTGTTAATAAATAAAAGAAGATAAACAATATGTTTTTCACATATACAAGTTATTTTTGTTAAGTTCTAGATATATAAGTATACTTCACATACAAAATTATTTACTAAAGGAAATATTGAAACTAGAGAATCAAAGATTTATGATGACAAGTCTAATAAGCATTGCGTTAATGCATGTCACACAACATTGATGATGTCAGCCTTGCTGATGCCTGAGCACAAGTCACTTAATGTGCGTGGTAGATTAACACTATCTTATGTGAAACAGCACACAAGCAATGCAATGCCCATATCGTCTAGTGAGCTTTGCATGTTGAATGCTAGACAATGTGTGTTTTCTTGACTTACTTTGTAGATTGAGCATCTTGCTTGAACTGTGGGCACAACGCACATCACCAAAAGAGTTCATGTGCAGTTTTTATTAAATTAAATAAAGCTTCACTATGTGCACGTTTTGTTGAGCTCACATTTTGCTAGAAGTGGTAGGAGTAGAGCTAAGAGTATTCCTATTTTGTTAGCAATACAAAAAAATCTGCAGTTTGTTTATTAATTCAAAAAGTTTTCAATAACCAAAGTAAAAATGTCCAGTTTTCAAAGGCTACTAACTTCGCTTTTTAAGAAACTTTTATTTTTCATTCAACTATTTAGTTAAAATATAGGGAAGAAATTATGGAGCTCTAGAAAACACGCGGAGATTGTACTTCTCGCCCATATGTCACATATAGCTTTTGTTGTTCTTTGACGAAATAAATAAAGAATAATGTTGTTAGCAGTTCCAATAAATCTCATAAGAAGGGCATCAGTCATCCAATGTAGGTTACATCCTTTCATGGGTTTCTTTTGTATTTTTATCTTTTACAAAAAAGAATTGGATAACTTCACAAATTCCAATTCTATCCATCTTCCACTCCAACTCGCAAACGCTTGTGTTCAAGTTGCTGACCAACAATGAGCTAGTGTAATAATGACTTGCAACAATGAAATACCCTGTTGTTGAAGCTTTAAATTCATATACAAAGATGTTGCTGTTGGCACTTCTTAGCATTAGAACCAAGTTACTTATCAAATAACTTCCAAATTCTGGTGTCAATTTGTTTCCAAGGGGGTAGTTCACACCAAGTTCACAGTATTTAATCAAATAACACATTTTGCAACTTCGTAAATGTCATGGTTTTCTCATAATTTAATTTCCCTTTACTAAAATCATATAAATAAAATAAACTTTTGTAGGTTCCACATTCATTTGCTATGAATATTAACTTAAAATTCCATTGTACACAAAAACCCAAGAACCACAAAATACACACACATAATAAGAAATCATTATTGAAAACTTTGCTAGAAACAAAACCAACAACTACAGCAAATGCAAACTAAATAAAATAATAATTAAAAGTAAAACCATAAACTTCATAGATCTAGAGAGGTTCAATCTTTTAAATTACATAAAACTGAAAAGACACAAAAAAATTAGTAGAATGGCATACCAAGTAGGTTTCTGTGTTTGTTTTGCAGTCTCCCGCTGTGCTGTTACAACTAATGCTGCTCTTAGAGCTTCCACAGCACCTTCACGAATGACAGGCTTAGGGTCTCTCACAGCATTGAAAATTAAATCAAAAAATTGTTGAACGTTTTGAAAGAAGAATGTTGGCATTGACATCGCCAATTCCCGCAGAACAAGAACCTGTAAAAATACAAATCTTATTATCAACTTTATATTTGAGAACTGATAATTATGCTACAAATGTTGTGCAATATATGCATTAGCAAGATTCTTCTTTTGTGAAGTTACATAAAATATATATTTTCTTTTTTCATTAGCATTCCTTTTCTTATTCTTATTTTATGTCCAATAAAATTATTTTTAAAGAAATTTCAGTCATGCTGAAGGCGCAACTATTAAAATGTGGAAATTCTTTGTGATTGATGCTCTGGCTGTTTATTGTACAGATTTACATTGAAATTGAGAGTAAGGCTGACAAATAAATCTTGCAGTCACATTCAGCGTTAAATTATTTCTGTACCTTATTTTCTGTGAAACAGCATGAAAATTACATTTCACACAAATAGAATGTTAAAAAACGACATGAAAACCTAAAAGAACTTCAACTGTAAAGCAACTGATATTACTCTTAGAACACTTACACCTGCCTCATGGAACACATAAGTTCTAACAAATAATAGGGAGCATTTCTACCTTTATTTTTAGAGACCAAAAAGACTACATAAATACAATGCAACAAACAATCTTACATTTTTCATCTAATAAACACTTATTAGGTTTGTTCATTTTCTCTCTATTTCATTTTAATGTTCACAGAGAAAATTCCAAAACATACCATTTATGTTCAAATTAATAAACAGAACTATGAGAAATTTGAAACAAACAAATATTTCAAAATAGGTACAAACATGTGTTATGTGAAATGAAGGACAAAATGTTGTGATTCCTATTATTTTTAATTATATTCTTTATTTGAATGTTGATTTCACGTATTACTGATATAACAAACATGTAATCACGTATGCAACAATATTTTGTGAGCACATTAATTCATACGAAATAATTTTTAGATCTCTCTATTGAGACATATATATTTATGCCAAATTAAACACTGGACATCAATTCAACACAACCACTCACCGCTGCATGCCGCTTGCCTTCATGTCTATCCCCAGCAAGCCATTCAAATGCCCTTTTCACTTCAAATTCCACATACTCGGCTGCATAAGTGCCAGACACTAGAGCTAGTTTGCCTACTGTCCGAGCAGCTAATTCCATCACCCCAACATCGTTTGATGGTAAGAGATTCCGCAAATAATTTGCAAATCTACTACGGGTGTTAATATTACCAACGTCAGCTCCAATTAAACATACTGAAAGAAGACCAAAGAATCATAAAGCACTAAAAGAATGAAGATGTTAAAAAAAACAACAGCAAGAATTTTCAACTTGTGTAAATGTGCACATAACAGCAAACAAGAAAAGTCTGGCTCCATTATACTAAAACTATACCCAGTCTAATAATGTAAAAGTGAGTTATTTCATTAAGGACCTAAATGAGGATGAGTATGCCAAGAAATAAACTACTGACGAAAATAATAAAATATGTATGTCATTATTATTCAAATTACGGTACTAAATCAGGAATGTGCAAAAATATAATTTACAATGAATTAAAATAAATACCTAAACAAATAGTAAGTAAAACTGAGAATTTGCCCTATTTTTTATTCAAAAATACAGGTAATTTGTATGCCTTACATCAAGATTTGAAAGCTAGGTAAGTATGCTAAAAATCCTTGAAATTATTTAATTTACTTTTATTTATTTTTCTTACCAATAGCCAGAATTCCTCCTTTCTTTTCATTAATATCGGAGCCAGATACCATCTCAAAGATGTGGTGGTTAAATTCATCCATAAAAGCAGTCAGCTCTTCCACTGACACCTCCCGCAATTCTGTCTTTACCTAAACAGAAACACCACATAAAATATTCACTGTCAAAATTCTTAATAACCCACACTGCTATGGCACACAAAAACTTACATAGTGGTACAAGTCCCGTGCCGACTTCGAGCGAACATCTGGATGACGGGACTTAAGCCCCGACACAAACTGCTGCATTAATGCACTAGACATTTTGATGGCTAAATGAGCTATATCTCTATCTGTAACCATAATGCATTATAAACATATACTCTTCCAGTTAACTCAAAAGACAAGTTTTATAAAAGAGCAAACATTTGGTTTCATACACAAGTAGGTGTTGCACTTAATTGGAAGACAAGAAAACAAATAATGTTTCAAACAGGATTTAGAAAGGGACAAAGGTTTACGACAAATGACATTAAAAGTTAACAGTTGGTTAAATGTTTTGCTGGTATTTATTCATCTTTTTTCTTTTTCTGCTTATAAAATTCATCTCAAACCTATATCCCCTTCTTTCTTTCTTTCTTTTTCTCCCCTTCTCAAAACCTACAAAACAAACATATTTGTTTATTTACCAAATGAAATAATGGCATGCTCTTTTTTCTTTCTTTCTGACTTCCTAAATAACTGAAGTTGATTTATTCACATTAGATTTTTATCCTACACAACACATTTTAAGTATGTTATGAAGCTATACCAAAAAGCATTCTTCAATATGGTTTGCAGACACAGATAAAAATCAAGGTTAAAATTGTGCTCAATTTTTGCTGCAAATTATAATGTACCAAAACTGTTAGTTTCAAGAATTTCCCACATAAATAATCACACTCTGATTCGTGGAGAATGTTCAGTCTACCCAACAATGTCCCTTTGGAAACGAAATCTTTCTTTCGCAAATACTTACATTGTGGAAAATGTATGTGATTTCAATGCATCAGACACATTCACTCATAAGAAAACTGTTTTAATACTCAGACTATTTAAATAATATTATCTGCCAATAATACAACGAAAAAAAATCAACTTTAAAAACAAAACAGATCCAGAAATTCAAAACAAATCAACAGTTAAGAAAAAATTATTTATACCTAATAATTACGAAAGGACAATCGAAATTAAAAACAAAAAAGGTTTTCAGCGTAATTATGATACAACACGCCGCTCCTTCGATCAATTTATTATTATGTTGGGGAACATTAACCTAAAATAAATAAATGTAATACAACACGCAGATTATATGCAATTCAGGTGGTGTCATTTCATTAATAAGAAATCGTACTAAAACCTCACCGATTATGTAAATGCACAGCAGTTTCTTCTCATGATAACATTTTTCCAACTTCTTTTAAAACTGTCGTCATTGTTCAACTCGTAAATCATTCATGCACTTAAGCGGCTCAAAATCATAAAAGTTCTGCAGTCTTCAACTCCGATACGTCTTGTCAAAAATGGCACTAATGTCACAAGTCCCACAGACGAAAGCGAAAATTGGATATCTAATTCATGTAATATACCAATGCCAAATTGTTTGAAATTGAACACAATCACACAATTCAAATGATTCGCGAGGGCAGTGTTTATAAACTTGTTTGTATACCAGGTTCATGTGAACAGTACGTTCAAAATCACATAACATTCCTAGGAAATTTTCGACTTGGATATCAACATGTTGGTAATAGTGAGAAATGGGCAAATACCGGCATGCGCATTTATTTATACTTCCGTTTTTATTGTTTAAGCGCCATTTACATAAACTGCATTTTCCGTGGTGGTGAGCAATGACAAGTTGGAGATCTAAATATAAAACAAAAACTCCTTCCATCCCTCATATAGATGGTAATAGGAAAGAAGGGGAGGGGAAAATAATGCACTGAGAAGAGGTGGAGTTTACTGAGGGTGCTTTTATTATGGGTTACTTTTGGGGGTGAAATACAGAATATGGGGGCTGTTTATTATTGTAAGATGAGCTTAATTTTATTTGTCGTTCATTTTTTTCATTTTATTTTCATTTAAGAGCGTGATGGATTGTCATTTTGTCCTAGTCTGGTCAGTACTTCAAGTCAGTTTCTGTCATTTTGTTTCAGTCTGGTCAGTATAACAAATATTTTTTAAGTAAGTTTGCAGTAAGTATTTGGAAATGGTCATAGGTTAGTGGGTAGATGGTGTTATTAAGTCCGAGGTGGTGGGAGCTGGAGTATGTCGAGTGGGTGGATGTTTTTTTATGGATGGATGTAATGAGGATATGGTTGTGAAGGGCAAGGAAAGGGGTAAATTTTGTGTTGTTAAGTGCTTTCATTACACAAGGATTTGTGTTGTATATTTCAGTTTGATTGTGACGTATATGTAAGGGGCGGAGGTTAAAAGGCAAATCGGATGAAGCTGTTGTCAACTTTTTTACGACTGTCATAGACCGTAAGCGTAGTAGTAGCCCACGTGTCGCAACGATAAAGTAAAGTCGGTTTAATGTACGTATTGTAATATATTTCTTTGTCTTGCTTTCTAGTTTTGGATGGGAAATGGGGACAGTCAATGCACTGATCACTCTATAAGCTTTTATGGTAATATATTTCACATGGTCTGTCCAGTATAGTCGTCGGTCGAATGTCAGTCCTCAGTATTTCAATATCTTTGTCCATGGGATGGGGATGTTAATAGTATTGGGGGGAAGTCATGATTTGTTCGCAGTGGTGGCTGGTGCCTATTCGCACGTTCGCATGTGCGCACCCATATTGATTCTGTGCATTTTGTTTTTAACATCTATAAACATGAATACAAGTCATCTCAGAGTGTTTCCGAAACATGGAATTTCAAAACACGCGCCGTTCGGAAGCAGTGGTTGACAGCCCGCCGCCAGGGCCCTTCATGAAAGCCAGCCGCAGGCCAGCCGGCGCACACTGGGGAATTGCGAACGAGGAGAGCGCGTCGTTGGCTGCTGCGTGGCTGGAGGGGAAATAGGGTACAACAGTGGCACTATGGACGGAAGGAGCATTCGTCTGAGTGTGCAATACCTTGACATATCTCGAAGATACGAGGGTTGCCTCG